TGTCCTGTCTCTCTTACACCGCAGGACTGAGACTTTAGTGCTTCTCTTCCTTTCGCTCTGTCAGAACGTCTGTAAATGCGGACGAGTTGGTAACGTTTCGAGAAGGATGCAGGCTCTTGACAGCAGCAGGCGATAATTACATCTGTTTTTTTCCTGTGACGGAAAGCAGTTTTTGCTCCTTTCCTCTAGTGGATACACATCCAGGCTCACTTGATGTGTCTCCAAAGTAATGTTCAGCATGTGCCTGCATGGTTTAATTGCATGCAAAGATGACAAATTAAAATTGGGGCGGAGCGGTGGCTCTGTGGCTCAGGATCTGTGCCTGTGGCTGGGAGGTTGCTGGTTCGTATCCTGCAGCCGGCAAAGGAATCCTGCTCCGTTGGGCCCTTAACCTCAACTGCTCCAGGAGCACTGTGCAATGGCTGACCCTGCGCTCTGACCCCAAGCTTCTCTCCCTGTCTGTGTGTCTTATGGAGAGCAAGCTGGGGTCTGTGAAAAGACACATTCCTAATGCAAGAAATTGTAAAGTGATCGTATCTTATCTAATTACGCTGATGGGGATGGTTTCAGTGCCAAGGTGGAAAACCTAGATAGGCAATTAAAATAAGTCCCTTCATTTCTGTGGCCCTTTTACATTCCAAATTGTCCTCTATGAAGGGAACCAACACTGAAGTGCAGCCCCATCTGGATGATGTGCAGCATGTATCTTGCGCCAGCAGCCCCACTGAACAGCAGGTCAGGTGGAGAAGTGAGACTGGATTAAGGAGGCCGGACTGTGCAAGCCAAGCAGGGAACTGAGCCAGAACACTGGTGTTAACCGCCTTTACTCCATGGGATCATGAATGACCGAGTAGTCAGGACTTAAATGAATGCAGCCCAGGGTCCCCAGTCACCGTTCCAGTGCGTTGAGTTGCTCAGTGCGGTCCAGAGACAAGAGTGCCCCCTACTGGTCCACCAGTGCCCCATGCAGCTGGGGTTTCTCCCTCCCCAGTACTGGCCTGGCCCTTCCTTGCCCGCCTCCTGAGACCTGACGATGTTGTGACGCAACCTCTAGACCCACCTGAATAACTGGGCAACACTGCCTGCCGCCTCACCCTCTCCTGACCCTCGAGACTGAATTCAAACGCGGGGTTTCGGTTGCTTTTCGTGCCCTTTCCCTCATGCCACAGTGCAAGCCTAGTCTGCGCCTGCAAATGCAAAAAAAGCCTGAAATCCCAAAGACTGGCCGAAAATACAAAGATCAGCCTGGAACAAAAAAACAACAAAAGGAGACAATAAGAAGGAACGTCGCAGGCCTGGAGGTGAATATCCTCTGCATCTCACTTGACTGCCTGCGACCTCTAAGCCCCTCGTATCTGGGGCTGAGCTCCCAGACATCACTTTTGCGGCGTTTTACCAAGGACACAGCAGTGAGACTAGTGTGGGGTGACAGGTCGAAGGAGTGGGGAGCTGTACTGTGGGGTGGGGGGGTTGTCACAGCTTAAGAGCCAAATAAATCTGGAAACTTCTATTACTCCACAGTTGCGGAAAGCCTCAAGGTAAACCACGTTCCTCAGACACGTTGCCTGGGCAGTCGTCGCTCTTGTCCGCTGGGAGATTTACCGCCAGCCTCCAGCTGAACCTCTCCTCCTGCCTGTCAGAATGTCACCATCCCCTGACGCTCGCCTGCCTCTGTGACTCCCTTTCTGAGCAGCGCAGGACGCAGCACTTATTATTCCTACCCCTTCCCGAGATCCGTCCCTGCCTTCCGAAGACGCACTGTGTTATTGCACAGGGTCACCACTGCCTCAGGATTCCTCAAACCTGTTTAATAATAATAATAATAATAATAAACAAACAATCACTGCTTTCTGGCCTTGCGTGGGCAGCCCGTCTGGATTGGACTCGTGATCCCTGAGTGATGGCCCTTTCTGCCTTGTGGGCTCCTCTGGCTGTGTGTTTCCTGAAAGCTCTTCTCCACGGCCCAAACTTATAAAGGGAGCTCTGTCCTGAGGCACAGCTGCACCACCTCGCTGGGGAGCCATGCGTTTTCATAAGAGGAGATGGTAATGCTAAGCAGATGGCCTACATACACAGACACTCCATCCCAAAGGCTGCCCACTTTATATTCTATAGCCTATTTACATCAACCTTTTTATTAATATCAGCCGTTATTGTGTTTTCTACAGAGTGCAGATTTCAGGAGAATGTGTAATTGACTGTACTACAACTTCTGAAATGACTTTCCTCTCCAGTGACGGAGGCGAATGCAATAATATCATTATGAACAATGGTGTCCTGCAGGCTAGCAGGCAGGCTCTGGACAGTTCAATATTACTGCGCACGACTTATTGTTCCACTGTGGATCCCTCCCGCCTGCTTCCAGATATTGACGGCTCGGAGTTAACCCTTCGCGTTGCCTGTGCATTCCCGCCAAAACAAGGACTGTGGCGGACGGGCATGCTTTTAGCTACTGGGGATAATCTCTTCGCCCTCTTCAGCTTCCAGTCTGGTGTTATCCTCCTTGCTGCTCTAAGAAAGTTAGAGGTGCATCACATTTTGTCAACAAAAAAATAGCATGAGTCTTGATGGTTTAAGAGAGTAAAATGTCTTTAGCAATAGATTGTAGCCTGTGATGTCATTGGAATAATTTCTTTCCGGGAGACTTGTCTTGTCAGGAAGATGAACCTCTGATGGTTTGCACATTTCCCCAGTCCTGCAGCAGCCTGTTCCAAAGGAAAACTAATGTTACCCACTGCGTGCACTCACAAATCGCCTCTTATTAAGTAAAATACTTCTATTAGAATTCTTGGTGCAGTCAATCGTGCTTTCATTGATTCTGATTTTTCGCTTCACTGCCCTTTTGGCTATTTTCTCCCAAAGCGGATTGTTTAAGAACATATAAAATAGTGGAGAAAACTGGAAGCACAGAGAATGGATCAGATGTAACAGTTGTCTGAAAGTATGGAGAAGAGGTTTGATTGGGGAGCTCTTTCTTCCCCTGCTTGTGAGCAGCTGTGAGTGTAGCTCCTGAAATCTGCAGGACATGCTATAACATGACACTAATTACCAACAGTTCAGACCTGCTCTGCGATACAGGTTTGCAATACTCTAACATAACCCAGGAGATCCACCGAAATGTGGGATAATTACACCTCTGCTTGCAGCCTTGAGGAATTTACCTTTTTCTCCGTTAATCAAAAGCACAGTGCTCTCTGTCGGGAAGGGCACACCGAGAAAGCTGAAGAGCAGCTGCCTGTCCTTTTACAAGAGAATAAACAAGCTGAATGGGTCTGAAGAGGGACTTGTTGTTGGCTCTGCTGCCAAGGTCGCTGCCACCTTGTAATAACTTGTGCATTTAATAAACTTCCCAAGTGTCTCGTCAAGGTGAAGAATAGCGCAGTCCGCCACAACTGTATTAGCGGAAACTGGTATGAGCTAGTAAATGTGGGAAAAAAGTACTGTAGGGCCGCAGAAAGTCACAGCACAGTTTAGTCAAGTTTTGAAATGAGTGCATTATGGAAGTCCCCCTGGAGAGCCAAGCAGAAATGCAAATGGGTCTTTTTTCCTACTCTTGTTCTGAAACAAGCCCTGCTGATTTATACGCCCGAACACGCTTTTGTGTTCCCATAAATGTCACGTGTAGGAGAGGCACACATACATGCAGAATGCACACACAACCAACCTTTTTTTTCGAGCTTTTCGTTTGCAGTGGCTTTTCAGGATGTTGGAGCATTCTTGTTTTTCACTTGGAGGTTGTGTGAAAGATTTGCCTAAATAAAGGGCAACCACTTCAGATTTAATGCGTCTTGATTTGGGGGCTGTTAGGCACCTAAATCTGTTTCTTTGAGAAGGGTGTGTAGCTGCTGTATATTTAAATGCAGGACTGTAAATGTAAATGCAGGAATGGTATAAGAACATTTTTTAGCCCTAACATGGATTCCAGTGTCCAGTTGCTCAGGAAAGTACACACACACTTTCTGAAAAGAGTTCACACTACAGGCGTCTGTCCTCTGCCTTTACCAGAGTTAATTAAGGTCAGCACAAACCCTGCACAGCGCAGACACTCCTATCAAGCTCCTATCAAGCTCTACAGTGTACAGAGCTCCTCAGGGTGGCACTTTGTGTCCAGTGTGTCCAGATGAGACATCTGTCTTGGACAACTGGGATATAATTCTGAGGCCACACGGAGCAACTTGTCTTGCCCCGGAGCTTATTAGCAGCTAAGCACAGGTCTGGCCGTCTCAACTGGACCCGGAAATCTGTTAAGACAGATGGGTCGCGTCATGCCCACTCTGCCCTCGCTGAGCTGCTCCCTGATGATGCCAGGTAGCCTGCGGCGGGCAGGACACCTGTCTCGGCAGGACAGTCTGGCTCTGGACAGGTTCATCAGATCGAATCCTACGGTGTTCAGCCCTCGGCTGCACAACACATTGGAATGGGAGCAGCACGTAGGAAGAAGGCACCACTGGCACACCTGCCTGGTTCAGAGTCTGGACTGGCAGAGTTGCCCCTGTGTGAAAAAGGAATGACTTGGTCAACAGCCAGCGAGGGGGAAACTGGAGCAAATCAAGTTCTGATGATTTTTCCACCACACTAAAGTAATAACATTTTAGAACCTAACAGGACCGCTGCCCATTGTCTTACAATAGTGTCCAGTAGCCCTTACATGAGCTCTATTAGACTGCCCTTCTGAAACTGGGGCAAACCTGAATGTGTGAACTCTATAAAAGTGTTTTTCATTTCAGTTCTGTCTTTTAATTGAACACTGAGGCAGCCAGCTCCACGCCTTGAGCACCTCAGTCAAGCAGGACCTCTTTAAGTCATCTTTGCTTAAATCCTGAGTGTTAAATTGGATCAACTAAAAAGCATAATTGGTTCAATAAGACGATTAAGAGCTCAGTTACTATGGGAAGTCAAAGAGCCAGCGTCAGAGGAGTGGAGATGAAATGTCGCTACCTGAGTTTTTCATACCCCTGAGGCTTTAATCTCTGCTTCTGTGCTGTGCTCTTGCTTTCCAGAGCTCTGTTTAATGAAGGGGTGAATTTTCTGGCCGTCAAACCCAGTGACCCAGCTGCGTGGGACATAAAACAGGAAGTAGGGCCTGGAAGTTCAGCAGTGACAGCTTCCTGTCACAGGAAGTCCACTTCTGCAGGAAACAGGTAAGAAACGTTCATATTTATTTCACTTATTATTATAACACCATGTCTGAAAACATGCCCCTGTTCCATAATGGTATATATGTATAATGGGATTGTTTCTGCTAAATTGACTTTATAAGAAAAGGGGAAAAGTCTTCTATATAGTGTAGAGACCACAACAGTTTAAAAAAAATATTGTTTCCTGTAATGTATTCAAAAATTGTTTTTATAGTGTAGCCCTTCATATGAATCACTTTTGGAAATCATACACTTTTGCCTGAGGTGACAATACATTTGACCTGGCCCTAGGATTTTTCTCTTTTGGAGGCTTGGTTTAAAACAAATAATGCAAAGACAAAACTCTTTCGCTATGTGTTCCTTATCAGGCTTCGATCCATTTGTCCTCTTGTAACTTTCCTGGCTTGTACTGGATCTTGATTCTCATTGTACAAAAACTTGTTCGCAGATTATATTCTGACATCCGTGTTCAGTGTCTTGTGCCTACCCTTCGCCCAGGAATTTCTCTCCCTGCTTGTCTGTGTGCTACTGAGCTCCTCCTTAGTGACCAGTCAATAGGCCCTACAGAGGTTAATAACAATTACTGCCCTTAATGAAGGAGTTCCATTCCAATTTGGGCAGTTAATGTGTAATTCTGGGTTTCAAATTAGGATTTGCATTGGAGGAACCATATAAATGCTTATAGCCTTCTCCTTGTCTCTGCACGATCAAGCCCCAGCTATGCTTTAATTCTGACTCCAAAGGGTAAATGTAAAATTACTTTTCTCAGTTAGGCTTCAAGAAAGCAGAAAAGACCGCAGATTACGAGGAACATGCAAATTAAATTGCTATGACCATTTAACAATGTTAGAAACTGAAAGTCAATTAAATCTTCAATTAAACATATCCGTCTTAAAGGACTTTTAATTCTTTTTAAAAGGAAACTGCTGCCGGGGTTTGTAGGTCTTGAGTATAGAGGTGTGAAGCAGATTTGAAGTTTGTTTCAGAAAATCTTGTGTAATTAAACAATTCATTGGAAAAAATACACCTGCAAGGGATTCAGTAAGGTTAAGCACTGTGTCAGTTATCAGATAAAGCTGCTTTTTCCCAGTAAGGGTGGTTTTCAGCTTATTCTAGAAACGAGAGACTAGGCCTGGGAAGGAACATCAGTTATTGCAGGGCAAATACACACACACACACAAATAGGAGACAATAACACTGGCTTGATAAGGAGGATGGAAACTGGGGTATGTGGTGAAAACCCACAAGTTTAAGTTCAAGTTTATTGTCATTATACTCATGCACAGGTATATGGTATAACGAAAGGCTATTGAGCTGGCTCTCAGATGGTAAGTAGTACAAAACAAACAACAATACAATTGTGTAAGAAAAGAAAGACAGAGACAACAGGCAATGTGCAAAACAACAACAGTGCAAAATCATACATCAACAGAATGAAATAAAGGATTCAAAATTATGGGGAGTGTGTTTGAGATTTGAGAAAGAGAAATGGCACTATTAGGGTTCAGATCGAGGGTGAGAGAGGCTGGGAGTTTAATGGTTTGATAGTGCGGGGGTCAAAACTGTCTCTGAGTCTGGTAGTCTGGGCCCGAATGCTCCAGTACCGTTTTCCAGATGGTAGAGGGTCAAACAGTCTGTAGCTGGGGTGTGGGGCGTCTTTGATGATGCTTAGAGCTTTCCTCAAGAACCGTCTGTCATAAATGTTCTGGATGGATGGGAGAGCAACCCCAGTGATGGACTGGGCAGTTTTCACCACCCGCTGTAGGGCTCTGCGGTCAGCAATACTGCAGTTGCCATACCACACTGTGATGCAGCCTGTCAGTGTGCTTTCTGTAGTGCATCTGTAAAAGTTAGTGAGGATCTGGGGATCTTCAACCATCGCGCTTTCTTAATCAGACAAGTGGCGTAGAGAGACAATGTGAGGTCCTCGGTGATATGGATGCCAAGGAATTTGAAGTTATTGACCCTTTCCACTTCAGTCCCGTTGATATGGATAGGCACGACAAGGAGAACATGCCGACTCCACACAGACAGGCAGCTGATCCCAGAACTGAGCCCAGGGAGCCTGGAGCTGTACAATAATGGGTTCTATTTCAAAATAATTGCAGCAAGCAGTGTGTGAAGCCAGAGTTAATTCTGCATTGTTACTTTCTTAACCTGCTGAATTATTTACGTCACTTTGTGGACATGGGCTGAAGGCAGCTTTCAAATCTCCTTCACTGTCAGGGTGTCTTTCTGTGGGAAGGAAAATGGCAAAGTCTGACCAGCTGAGGGTCTCTTAACGTCGGGAGGGTTTTTACTCTGGTTTTTTTTCTGCTCTATGCCAAGCATGCGAGGAAAAAGCTGCCGATGGAAACTGTGCAGGGAGCGAAAGACAGGCGGATTGATCAAAAAGGAGTCCGTGTAACGGAGACAGGAAACGGCCGTCTGTAAGAAAGCAAACAAAAAAAAAAGGTTGTAGGAGTTTTATATTCAGGCTGTGTTACCAAAGTGGAATCTGCCTCCCTCTGTCAATGAAATTTTCATTGGGCATCATCGTTCTGATCACTGTACACGGATGTTTCAGTCCGTCGGCCGCCGCTGAAATGATCCGCCAAATGAGCAGTAGCATGTCGTCTTCAATCCGCGCTCAGTTCCTGGAGCAATGATTGACTGAGCTCCGAGCAGCCTGGCAGGGAGCAAGTTTAATGAGGAGTTTTTAGACCAGATGTGGGGTTTATAAGAAAAAAAGCCATGTGAAACTGTCTTAACCCTATTGTCTCATGATAGCCGCCGATACAGTCTTGGGGTATATTCTCGCCAATTTGCCTTCTAACGTCTCCCTTTAAAGGGCAAGATGCACTGTGGGATTCTAATTGATGGGGTGGGGCCAGGGTGTTGGATTATACCCATCTCTCCATGGCATTTCTCTCCGAATCCCAACAGCCGGGGTGAATTTACGGCTTTACAGGGCACTAAATCTGTCATATTGCTGGTAATTGCTTGGTCTTCAGACTTAAGGTGTTTGTAAGGGAAAGAAAATTGGTTCTGGAGGTTTCGCGTTTTTTGGGGGTTGGATTCAGTTGTTGCTGATGACAGCTTTAATAAGAAGAAGAAGAAGGGGAAAAGAGGATTTATTTATTTTTAAGGTCTTTCATCTTGTCCCAGGCCTCGGCAAGTTGTACAGTGAAAGAACAAAGTCGTCCCCAGAGTAATTAATTAGAGGTGGGTGTGCAGTTTGAT